CCCCCGTGTGTTTAACGACATGTGCACGCTTCCCCACTGTGTTTTAAGCAACCAATGCAAACGCTCCATTTTTTTAACTTCTTGTTAACGGCGTTAATTTTTTTACAAAAACTCCGTTATACTCTTCGAATATTATATATATTTACGATAAATTGAATTTCTCACGATATATTGAATATGTCGCGAGAAATTGAATTAAAAAAAAAACGCTATCTCGAGGGTTCGAACCTCAAACCATGTTCAAGCAAGGCAATGCAAGTAACCATTGCACCACTCAAGCTTGAGTGTTAAATGTAGTAAAGTTTAATATATATTGGCATTACACATGAATAAATGAAATTTAATTTAGAAGATAATGTAAATAATAAATTAAATTATTAAAATATAAACATATGATAAATTAAAATGTACTGAACCAAATTATATAAAATTAAGTTAAACAAAAATAAAAAATAACTTATTATATTAAACAAAAACAACAATAATTAAAATAAATTATAAATAAATTTAAAAATTAAAGTTAAAATAGAAATATTTATTGTATTTATATTTAGATTATTTTTATACTTTATTATTTATTTAATTTATATTATTCCATATTATTTTATTGCATTGTTCATTATATATTTTCTTAGTTAACAAATTTTATTTATTTTGTTTCTTAAGATAATTTAATAAAATTAAGATAAATTCTACTAATATAATTAGAAATTAAATTATTTATTAGAAACTAAAATCTTTTACTAAAAAATTATAATTCATGTCAATTGTTCTCATTGATATTGTATGTAAGAGTAAGTCATATTACACGTATTTGATAAATTATATTTTTTTATTTTATTATATTAATTTAAGATTTTTATTTACTTTAATTTATTATATTATAATACCTTATTTGATTTATTATATTATTTCACTTTTCAATTTTTATACATTATTATCTGTAATATTTTTATTTTTATTTTATTTTTTTTAATTTTATTATCATTCTTTTTCATTTCAAATTTTATTTAATTAAATTATTTTAGTAATTAAAAATTAATAATAATTTAATTTTAATTCATGCTACTATATTAAATTTTATCCTACTTTATTTTAATTTAATTGTTTCATTATTTTTATGTTAATTTAATTTATTTCAAGTTATTATTATTATTAGTTATTTTAATTTATATTAATTTACTTATTAGATTTTTATTAATTACTTTATTTTTATTTTATTTAATTTATTATCGTTTATATTATAAATATATGTTTGTTCAATAGTTTACACTACATTCATGTAGCCTAGTGGCTTTGTTGGCGCGCACCCTCTCTCTGCAATCCGATTTCGAGTTCCACTTATTGCACTATAAATTTTTAGCTTTTGCAATACAATTCAGGAGGGCATAATGGTAAATAAGTAATTCTGAAAATAAAGAAATTGAATAAATCTCGCAGCCAGATAAGGTGTAACACACGCGCGGTTAACTTGGACGGAATGGGGGATCCTTGCAGCAATTACTTAAACATA